CACGAGAAAATGCGTCAGCTACTAGGTTGGCCGATCCAGAAACATGTCTTATGTCTGTAGTGAATTGTGAAATGAATGTTAGTTGGTTTTGCTGAACAGGAGGTAGTTTTTCACGTTTTTGACTGAAGGCAAATGTTATTGGCTTGTGGTCTGTGAAAACTATGCAATGATTTGCCTCAAGGTAGTGACGAAAGTGACGAATGGCGGCATATACAGCGAAAAGCTCACGGTAATAGGCTGGCCAAAGGGATTGTTTTGGTGTCAGTTTCTGTGAAAAGAAAGAGAGAGGTTCCCATGTTTTATTGTCAACCAATAAAGCTGGAGAGCAGCTCCTACATGGGTACTCGAGGCATCACAGAACAATGCGAGAGGGGCCTTGTGGTCAGGGTGAACAAGCAAGGTAGCATTGGAGAGATGTTCTTTGCAGGATAAGAATGCAGCATCCAATTCAGGAGTCCAATTTACAGGTTGGTTTCCCCGTAGAGATGAGAGGGCATCATGGAGAGCTGCTTGTTGCTTGGCTGCTGAAGGAATGAATCTGCGGTAGAAATTCAACATGCCAAGAAAACGACGCAAACCTTTTGCAGTAGAGGGACGGGTGAATTGTTGCAGAGCCTCAACACGTTCAGGAAGTGGTCGAGTACCAGCAGATGATACCTCATATCCTAGGAAGGTAACCTTTGGAGCTTTCAAAACAGTCTTATTTACGTTAACGAGTATGCCATAATCAGAAAACCGATTGAATAGAGTTCGTAGATGGGCTTCATGTTCAGTCTCATCCTTAGAGAAAACTAAGACGTCATCTATATAAGGAAAGCAGAAGTCTAAACCAAAAACTACTTCATCGATGAAACGCTGAAAAGTTTGTCCTGCGTTGCGGAGGCCAAAGGACATGAAGGGGAATTCAAACAATCCAAAGGGGGTTGTAATGGCTGTCTTCGGGATGTCTTCAGGGTTGACAGGGATTTGTGTGTAGGCCTTCACTAGGTCGATCACAGAGAAATACTTGCAACCTCTGAGAGAATGGGTGAAATCGTGGATATGTCTAACAGGATATCTGTCAGGAATAGTCCTAGCGTTGAGAGCACGGTAGTCTCCACAGGGGCGCCATCCATCAGGTTTCTTAGGGACCATGTGAAGGGGTGATGACCAAGGTCCATCAGATCGACGTGCAGTACCATCGGTGAGCATGGCATCAAACTCGGCTTTGGCTATAACAAGCCGATCAGGAGCGAGTCGACGTGGACGAGATGAAACTGGGGGGCCAGGGGTCGTTTTGATGAAATGCAAGGTTGAATGGAGCACTTTTCTTGGTGTACCAGAGGGTCGGGTAATCATGGGAAATTCTGCCAGTATTGATGAAGTTGGAGAATTGGGTGTGATAGTTTTTATGCTGAAATGAGGGATTGAGGTACATTGACAAAGAACAGAAAGGTTTGTTACACTGTCAATCAACCGTTGATTACGACAGTCAGGAAGCAATCCAAAGTGTGCTAAAAAGTCAGAGCCTATAATCGCTGTATTAACATCAGCAATGACAAAATTCCATGTAAAAGCTCGTCTCAGCCCTAAGTTTAATGTTAATGTCATCATACCGTAGGTGTGAATGGCAGAGTTGTTTGCTGCACGAAGTTCATATTCAATATGCTTTTGGTTCTTACAAACGAATGATTTAGGGAGGCAGCATATGTCGGATCCAGTGTCAATCAAAAATTTTGTATTAGTTGTACGGTCGACGATTTGTAGGCGGCGCCCTCCAGCTTGGCAGTCAGCTGACGCCATCACTGGCTGCCTTTGGAGTTTGTCGGAGAAGTGAAATCACATGGTGGAATGCACTTCTCAGCTTGATAGCCAAAACGCTTGTGGTACCAGCATAGATTGGTTTGCTCTGTAGTGTCAGAGGAGCTACCTGCGTGATAACGACTACTAGACAAACTCCTCTGACGTGACCTAGGTCGCCTGTCACGTAGGGAATCAACATCTTTACGCATATTTTTCATTTGCAACTCCAAAGCAGATAATTTTGATAAAACTTCAGTTAATTTTGGGTCATCAGAAAATGAAGATTTAGGATTTGGTGAATTAACGGCATTCAAAGATGTAGGCATACTAGTGAGAGAATGGCAAAAAGATGCGTTAGGTTGGACTGCTAGAATTTTGTCGGCAGTAATTGCAAGTGTGTCAGTTTGGGCACTTGTTTGGACTTGCAAAATACTTTGTACATGAGCAGGAAGTCTCTGCATCCAAATAGTTTTCAGTAAACTATCTTGGATTGTGGTCGAACCTACTAGTGATCGAAGGTGGCGTAGGAACTGAGAAGGAGTTTTGTCACCTAGTTCCTCCTCCATCAATAGCTGACGAATGCGTTGCTCCTCAGATAGAGACAACCGTCTGATTATTTCAGACTTAAGAGTAGAGTAAGGAGTTTCAACAGGTGGATCTATTATAAGATCCTCCACTTCATTAGCATAGCGCTCATCAAGATGTGAAATTACATACGAGTATTTAGTTGTTTCACTCGTGATGTGAGCCAGTGTAAACTGAGCCTCAACTTGGGCAAACCAGAGCCTTGGTTTCTCTTTCCAGAATGGTGGAAGTTTTATGCTTACCCGGTGGATGTGATGATCTTCATGTCGTTCGTCGGAATGGGCTGTATGATCTGGCTGATGCTGTGGTAGAACTGGTGGAAGATCAGGTAGGTTGGCTTCTTGAGGATGTACAGAAATGTGATTTTGTTCTTGTCTTCCATTCAAATCTTGAAGTTGTCTTTGTAGGTTGGCATTCTCACTCTCTAATTGAGCTAGGCGCTCCAAAAGTTCTTGGTCCATGGCGTAAAACGATAATTTGGGGAAAGGTGAAAAATAAATGAAGGTTTGGTAGAAGGTTGAAATTTAATGTAGGAAAAACATCAATTTAGTTTGAAATAATTTACTTGTTAGTCGGGGTCACCATTTCTAGTGGATAGACGCACTAAAACAAATCATTCTAGTAAAAGGTCATTTAATTTACAGAGAATAGTTAAGTAGTGTAATCCACTAGATTCAAATCAGAAAAACTGTTGTTAAAACTGTTGTTACCTAGGTTGCTAGGATAACAAAAAAATAAACAAATGATTAAAGTAAATTTAATACAGAACACATGGTTATTGTGTTAGACAGTTTAGTGGCACCACACCTCGTTCCTATGGTCCGATCACGCTGGTACGGTACGGGAACACTAGCGAATTAGGGAAAGGTGTACACGTTTGTAAGTACCAAATTTTGTCAAAATCGGATAATTTTGGCTCGAGTTATCGTCCTAACGGACACATATTATGTATAAGTTATATACAGGGTGTTGAAAAAGTCTTAACACACCCAAAAAGAAACTAAACGGTGTAAGATAAAATGTTGCAACTTCCAACATACAGCACTCCAGTTGAAGGGGCTGGAGCTGAGTGACCAGTGGGTATATGATGATTTTTCTAGTTTTTTTTTGCAAGAAATTACAATTTTGCTCCCCTCCCCCTTTAGGAATGTATAAGATCCATGTAAATGTAAAGACCCATGTTTTGACTCCTAATGGCAACCGTTCAAAGATATCTAGAATCTGCCATTTTGAATCTTTGAACAGATGCCATTTTTTACTCAGTTGTTCTTTTGAGCTGAAATTTGTAGCATTGTATTCTACTAATGAAAACCTTTAATTTGATGTGCATTAAGACCTATCCATACGTTTATGATTTTCCTCCGACTTCTAGCGGAATAATTATATGTTGCAATTGCAAAATTTTATCTTACGCCGTTTAATTTATTTTTGGGTGTGTTAAGACTTTTTCAACAACCTATATATGAATTTAAACGGATGGTGTTTTTGGGCTATGGAGACATCAAAACGAAAAAGTAAATCAGTCCAGGGCTAAGTCTTACCATGAGAACTACAGTAACCATTTTCTTATACGGGTAATTCGCTAAAAGATATTGTTTTAGTTTCTGTCCAAATGAAGTTTTGCTGTTTGTGTACATACTCTAGGCCGTCTGGGAAGGGTTAAATACTATTCTACCCAGTTACCACCCCTATGCAAAAAATAGTCTTGTCATATTAGCCTAAAACATTGCGAAGGAAATTCCTAAAATCAACGTTCTCGCCAAGTATATAAAGTTCTCTAGTATAAGGCGTCAGTGTCAGCCACTATTGAAGTTCAATGCCAATCAGAGGATATATATAATAGAGTTAACTGTTTAAAAATAGAGAATGTGCTTAAGGGGTGGAGGGAGTAGGCTTACAGAGCTGGTACATTTTTGCATGATTTTTACGATGTTTTGCAAGATGTAGGCTAATTGTACTGTAGGTAGTCGTTTATCAGTCTCGTTTAGGGCACAGTGACCAAAGTTAAGGGAACTTCCCATACCAATTGGAGTGTTACTGAACAAGGAGATTGCCGAACTGATAGGACCCTATCTATAAAATTACCAAGGACAACGTGGTAAACATGGATGCGCAGTCTCTAGTAGGTAGTCATGAACAAGCAAATCAACAAAGGTGTTCTCATCAACTTAAATTACAGTCTCGACTCAATTGAACTTTATGATGACCCGCTATTGTAATTGTTGTGTAAATGTATACATCCTTCTGTAAGTTCTCTAAGCCTTCAATTTACAACAAATTTCAATAGGGGTTGACGGTTGTCCTCCTCTCCACAGGAACAGTTACAGACCGTGATTCATACTTGTTGGGAGCATATATTTTCTCTCACGGTGTTTTCGGCCACTTCAATGAGACTAACGGTAACATAGATGTGGATGATATGAAGTCACATTAGAACCAGCTCACTTGACTTGGACAGGAGCTCTTTGGAGACTTTAATATACAGACAACCCTTGAACCCATAAACCTAGATCATCAATCGCCTTTTTACACATAACCTTAGATTTTTTAATTTGATTTATTACAGTACTATTTTATCTGTTGTATTGTAACAATTTGAACCTGCCAATGGTAAAATACAGTTCTTTGTGTAGAGATTGCTAGTCTGCCGATGGAAGAGGTGGTGGTTCGTCTTGGAGGGCCGACTGTTGTTGTACTACAAGAGTCAGCTGGAGTACCTGAACCTGTCACCATGTAGAGGATCACTGAACCTAGGCCTAGTATCCAGTGTGAGGCCAGGCAAGGGGCTGGAGCTGAGTGTAGTCACCAGGTCACAGACTGTTGTACTGGTATGTACATGAACATGTCACTATGTATAAGATCTCTAAACCTAGGCCTAGTATCCAGTGTGAGGCCAGGCAAGGGCCTGGAGCTGAGTGTAGATACCAGGTCACAGACTGTTGTACTGGTATGTACATGAACATGTCACTATGTAGAAGATCTCTAAACCTAGGCCTAGTATCCAGTGTGAGGCCAGGCAAGTGCTTGGGCTTGGAGCTGAGTCACCAGGTCTCAGACTGTTGTACTGGTAGGTACATATGAACATGTCACTATGTAGAAGATCTCTAAACCTAGGCCTGGTGTCCAGAGTGAGGGCCAGGCAAGTGCTTGGAGCTGTTGTACTGGTAGGTACATATGAACATGTCACTATGTAGAAGATCTCTAAACCTAGGCCTGGTGTCCAGAGTGAGGGCCAGGCAAGTGCTTGGAGCTGAGTCACCAGGTCTCAGACTGTTGTACTGGTAGGTACATATGAACATGTCACTATGTAGAAGATCTCTAAACCTAGGCCTGGTGTCCAGAGTGAGGGCCAGGCAAGTGCTTGGAGCTGAGTGTAGATACCAGGTCTCAGACTGTTGTACTGGTAGGTACATGAACCTGTCACCATGTAGAAGATCTCTAAACCTAGGCCTGGTGTCCAGAGTGAGGGCCAGGCAAGTGCTTGGAGCTGAGTCACCAGGTCTCAGACTGTTGTACTGGTAGGTACATGAACCTGTCACCATGTAGAAGATCTCTAAACCTAGGCCTGGTGTCCAGAGTGAGGGCCAGGCAAGTGCTTGGAGCTGAGTCACCAGGTCTCAGACTGTTGTACTGGTAGGTACATATGAACATGTCACTATGTAGAAGATCTCTAAACCTAGGCCTGGTGTCCAGAGTGAGGGCCAGGCAAGTGCTTGGAGCTGAGTGTAGATACCAGGTCTCAGACTGTTGTACTGGTAGGTACATGAACCTGTCACCATGTAGAAGATCTCTAAACCTAGGCCTGGTGTCCAGAGTGAGGGCCAGGCAAGTGCTTGGAGCTGAGTCACCAGGTCTCAGACTGTTGTACTGGTAGGTACATGAACCTGTCACCATGTAGAAGATCTCTAAACCTAGGCCTGGTGTCCAGAGTGAGGGCCAGGCAAGTGCTTGGAGCTGAGTGTAGATACCAGGTCTCAGACTGTTGTACTGGTAGGTACATATGAACATGTCACTATGTAGAAGATCTCTAAACCTAGGCCTGGTGTCCAGAGTGAGGGCCAGGCAAGTGCTTGGAGCTGAGTGTAGATACCAGGTCTCAGACTGTTGTACTGGTAGGTACATGAACCTGTCACCATGTAGAAGATCTCTAAACCTATTCCTGGTGTCCAGAGTGAGGGCCAGGCAAGTGCTTGGAGCTGAGTCACCAGGTCTCAGACTGTTGTACTGGTAGGTACATATGAACATGTCACTATGTAGAAGATCTCTAAACCTAGGCCTGGTGTCCAGAGTGAGGACCAGGCAAGTGCTTGGAGCTGAGTGTAGATACCAGGTCTCAGACTGTTGTACTGGTAGGTACATATGAACATGTCACTATGTAGAAGATCTCTAAACCTAGGCCTGGTGTCCAGAGTGAGGGCCAGGCAAGTGCTTGGAGCTGAGTGTAGATACCAGGTCTCAGACTGTTGTACTGGTAGGTACATATGAACATGTCACTATAGATCTCTAAATCTAGGCCTGGTGTCCAGAGTGAGGGCCAGGCAAGTGCTTGGAGCTGAGTCACCAGGTTTCAGACTGTTGTACTGGTAGGTACATATGAACATGTCACTATGTATAAGATCTCTAAACCTAGGCCTGGTGTCCAGAGTGAGGGACAGGCAATTGCTTGGAGCTGATGAGTCACCAGGTCTCAGACTGTTGTACTGGTAGGTACATGAACATGTCACCATGTAGAAGATCTCTAAACCTAGGCCTGGTGTCCAGAGTGAGGGACAGGCAATTGCTTGGAGCTGAGTCACCAGGTCTCAGACTGTTGTACTGGTAGGTACATGAACCTGTCACCATGTATAAGATCTCTAAACCTAGGAATGGTGTCCAGAGTGAGGGCCAGGCAAGTGCTTGGAGCTGAGTCACCAGGTCACAGACTGTTGTACTGGTATGTACATGAACATGTCACTATGTAGAAGATCTCTAAACCTAGGCCTAGTATCCAGTGTGAGGCCAGGCAAGGGGCTGGAGCTGAGTGTAGTCACCAGGTCACAGACTGTTGTACTGGTATGTACATGAACATGTCACTATGTAGAAGATCTCTAAACCTAGGCCTAGTATCCAGTGTGAGGCCAGGCAAGGGGCTGGAGCTGAGTGTAGTCACCAGGTCACAGACTGTTGTACTGGTATGTACATGAACATGTCACTATGTAGAAGATCTCTAAACCTAGGCCTAGTATCCAGTGTGAGGCCAGGCAAGGGGCTGGAGCTGAGTGTAGTCACCAGGTCACAGACTGTTGTACTGGTATGTACATGAACATGTCACTATGTAGAAGATCTCTAAACCTAGGCCTAGTATCCAGTGTGAGGCCAGGCAAGGGGCTGGAGCTGAGTGTAGTCACCAGGTCACAGACTGTTGTACTGGTATGTACATGAACATGTCACTATGTAGAAGATCTCTAAACCTAGGCCTGGTGTCCAGAGTGAGGGCCAGGCAAGGGCTTGGAGCTGAGTCACCAGGTCACAGACTGTTGTACTGGTAGGTACATGAACCTGTCACCATGTAGAGGATCTCTAAACCTAGGCCTGTTGTCCAGATAGTGAGGGCCAGGCAAGTGCTTGGAGCTGAGTCACCAGGTCACAGACTGTTGTACTGGTAGGTACATATGAACATGTCACTATGTAGAAGATCTCTAAACCTAGGCCTGTTGTCCAGATAGTGAGGGCCAGGCAAGTGCTTGGAGCTGAGTCACCAGGTCACAGACTGTTGTACTGGTAGGTACATATGAACATGTCACTATGTAGAAGATCTCTAAACCTAGGCCTGTTGTCCAGATAGTGAGGGCCAGGCAAGTGCTTGGAGCTGAGTCACCAGGTCACAGACTGTTGTACTGGTAGGTACATATGAACATGTCACTATGTAGAAGATCTCTAAACCTAGGCCTGTTGTCCAGATAGTGAGGGCCAGGCAAGTGCTTGGAGCTGAGTCACCAGGTCACAGACTGTTGTACTGGTAGGTACATATGAACATGTCACTATGTAGAAGATCTCTAAACCTAGGCCTGTTGTCCAGATAGTGAGGGCCAGGCAAGTGCTTGGAGCTGAGTCACCAGGTCACAGACTGTTGTACTGGTATGTACATGAACCTGTCACCATGTAGAGGATCTCTAAACCTAGGCCTGTTGTCCAGATAGTGAGGGCCAGGCAAGTGCTTGGAGCTGAGTCACCAGGTCACAGACTGTTGTACTGGTAGGTACATATGAACATGTCACTATGTAGAAGATCTCTAAACCTAGGCCTGTTGTCCAGATAGTGAGGGCCAGGCAAGTGCTTGGAGCTGAGTCACCAGGTCACAGACTGTTGTACTGGTAGGTACATGAACCTGTCACCATGTAGAGGATCTCTAAACCTAGGCCTGTTGTCCAGATAGTGAGGGCCAGGCAAGTGCTTGGAGCTGAGTCACCAGGTCTCAGACTGTTGTACTGGTAGGTACATGAACCTGTCACCATGTAGAAGATCTCTAAACCTAGGCCTGGTGTCCAGAGTGAGGGCCAGGCAAGTGCTTGGAGCTGAGTCACCAGGTCACAGACTGTTGTACTGGTAGGTACATGAACCTGTCACCATGTAGAGGATCTCTAAACCTAGGCCTTGTGTCTAGTGATTCAAAAGATTTATAATACCATTCAGTAATTAATTACAATCTGTAACGTGAAAGAACTATGCTAAAAATATTTAAAAGTAAAATAAAATAAAATGTTAACCATTGCAAACCACATAGAAATTGGTTAATATTTATATAGAAAATAATTGGTTAATATAACACAGCAAACAAAGCGGCAAACCATGCAGTTATGGAGTCCTTCCAGTTATTGGCCAGCCTTCAGAGTATCATTCAATTCTACAAAATCATAGTGCGAGGCCAGGCAAGGGCCTGGAGCTGCAGCTGAGTTTAGTCACCAGGTCCCAGGATTTTGTACTGATAGGTCTTTGACAGAGAATGTTTAGTAATTTTCTTTAGGAAAAGATATTTTGTTTTTAGCCTTTTACAAAGATTACCTCGTTTAAATTAGCATTCTATTGATCCAACCCTGCTTGTTACAGAGGGCCAGCAATCGTGTGGATCATGAGCAGTGGCTTCAGTCTCTGGTGGATGCAGCAGCTCTCCCTAACTCCAATCCCTTCCCTGCTCGGCCCGGTGTGCTACACTTCCGCTACTCCAGCCAGGTACATGGTAGTATTTTATTATGTTTAAATACTACTAGTGTACCTGTTGCTCGAAATTGAGCAATTGTTAAGTATTATGGGAGTTATTTCAAAACCAACAACTGTCATAATTTTCAATAAGTTTAATAGACAAAACTCAAAGATTATGTAACTACCTAATGGAATTACTCTCTATGTTCATAAAAGTTTGATTTAATAACCATTTCTTGTAAATACTTTCATTTTCAGAAGCTGACCATTTTTTATTAGTTTTTTAACTACAAATATTTTCCGACTTACCCATAGTGAAATAAAGTCGTCCATGTGTATCTTTGTCATTGATGGTACAGTACCTAGATAGTACAGTACCATCATTGTCGCCAGTCTGTTTGCAAATGTTTATAGCATGTGTTTCTATTAATTATCTTAAATGTTGACAGCTGTTTCAATATATGATAGTGTAAACATATCCAGCTGATACAAATCTGATACACATTTTGTAAACAAATCTGTGTATCATAAGGATAACATGTGGACTTTAAAGACCACTAGTCCAGAGTCCCAAGGGACTTGTTCAATACATCAGACCTCGAACAATGAATACAAACCTTATAAGAATCCTAATCCCATATTCAAAATTCAGCCTGGGGTTTCTTCCCTTTTATACCCTTTTTGAAGTTTCTGCGTCGCCCACTACATAAGAAGGCACTACTATCACTGGCACGCAGCGGCTTAAATGGGACCCCACAGCAGTGTGAGTGAGACAAAGAATCAGCGTAAGAGAGGGGAGAGATGAAGAGGCTAGAGCTTACCTACTGGCGGCCGCACTAAGCAAAATCCACTATGAATATTCCCCATACGCATTTAGCTTCTATAAGGTTTGTATTCATTGCCTTAAATGACATCTACTCAATAAGATCTTTCAAAGAGCCATAAACTAACAAAATAGGTTAATTAAAAAACCACAGAGCAGTTCTGACGACAAATGTTGTGTTTGCCTATATTTTATATAGATAATGTAATGTACTAGGCTTCATATAATATTTTGTAATGCAGCACTTTTAATTTTGTCATAATACTGGTAAGCCCTTTTTTGGCTATGCTGTGGACAGGGCTCTTTCTCCTATCTTTTTGGGGTCTAAATACTCTCTGATCTCAAAAACCCAGTCTGGTTTTTTTAGGGAATAGAATCCTTCGTGCTTCTACAATAACTGATACCTGATCATATCACTGTAAGATGGTTTGGAGTTTTTCTGGAAAGTATGGTAGACTCTAGACTCTTCATACCTCTTTTCTTATGAAACCCTTCTTTTCCTGGTGGTTGGCAATATTTAAGTGACAACGTCAGTACCTTGAAGGCTTAGGGCCGGACTACACGAGCGTATAAAACGCCGCCGACTGTCTACCTGGTGAGAACACGAAATTCAGGCGATCGGCAGATCTAACGCCTCTGGATGTAAAATACGCGGGCAGATCGTCGGCGCGCCGGACTACACATAGCGGTAACTAGCATTTCTCCTGCGCGTTGATACCGGATACTCGGAGTGTTGTATATCGTTGGTTGATACATCCCCCCCTCAATTGGGCGAGTCCAATTCTGCACTACTTGTTATAATTGGAGTTGTCTGATTGTTTTTGTGCCTTGAAATTTGTGTTTGTTTTCGCTGGGCTGTTTTGTAAAAATGTCTGATACAGAGAAGTTTATATGCGAGGTTGAACTACATTCTGCACTGTATGTTGTTTCTTGTAAAGAATACAGTAATAAAGTAAAGATGTGAAAGCTAAGTGTTGGGTTGAAGTTTGCGAGGCCATGTTTGCAGATTGGAACGACATACCAATGGATAAAAAAGATGAAAGAGCATACCAGCTACACATCCAACCTGTATCGTGTCCATATTGGAACGGTACAAATGTCAGTCACATTGGGCGAGGACAGTCGGCGGCGTTCTATAGCCTACGCTCGTGTAGTCAAAGCTCTCGCGTTCAATACGCTGCTAATTGTCGGCTAGACATTTTTGTGCGTACTACGTGTTTCATACGCTCGTGTAGTCCGGCCCTTAGGAACTGGTAGCATTCCAATGCCTTCCAATGTCAGTTTGGCCTATAAAAGCGGTTTAGCAAGTTAATAAATGAATGTTTGAGGACAACTTTCTCAAAATATTTTAATTTATTTAATACTTTAAATATTCTTTACAATTATCCATCAAATCAAGAGTATTAAGAAATATTTTTTTGAATTTTTTTAATGTAAGTGTTTGGTCTTTCAAACAAATTTGAGTTCAATATAGATATTTTCTTGTTTTATGCTACAGAATCATCATGAGAACATAATTGAGAGGGTGAAGAACTTCCGTTGTCCTTCGTATGCGATGATGTCTGAGGAAACGACGACAACCACTCCTGCACCGTCTGGAAGCTATGAAACTTCAACTTCATCTTCTCACAGTTCAGATATTGGCAGAAGTTCAGGATGCATGCTACGCAGAGTGCTGTCTGACAGCAGAACTCTTCTTCAAAGACCTTACAAACGAAGGAACTCTGCTAGGAAATCCGCTCGCCTGAGTAAAATTGCGTTCAGTGATACCTCCATACCTGTCAGTTCACAAGAGCCTACAGTTTCACAAAGTGAAAAGTGTCAGAGCATGCAGGAACTAAGAAACAGTGTGTGCATGAGTGAGGAAAATGTCTTGTCTAAGTGCATTAGAAGTGAGAGTTCAAAGGAAATTGCAAAACCAACTTTGAGTGGGAGTAAAGAAAGTAGGTTGTCCAACTCGATCAAAATAGAGTTAAATTTAGAAGACATCGATCCAACAAATGAAGAAGGAATGAAAGAGCAGAAAATAGGAAATGTTAAGATCACCTTAGACGGGTGTAAAATTTATGGAAGTACCGATCTAAATATTGAACCGATAAAACCAATTGAGAAAGTAAAAGAAAATGGTAAATACACTGAGAATGGTAAAGTTGATAAAAGGGATCTGAATATTCATTTGTACAATAAAGAAGTAAGGAGCGAAACAGATCTCACAGTCAAACAGAAAACAAGAGCACAGTCTGCAAGCTGTGAAAACATGCAGACGTTGGACAGAAGCATTGGCTCTACCTACAATCATGCTACAGAAAGGATAGAAGCCATTGGGAGAGAACAAAAGATGTCAAACTTGATAGCCTCAGAAACTTCAGGCAGAAAATCAAACAAAAAACGTTCAAATTCTATCCTAACTAGGTTCAGAGACAGCAGAGCTGAAAATGAGGACGGATTTTTGGAACGCAAAGGCACCATCAAAAAACGGCTCAGTTTCTTGAGGAAGGTGTGGAAAAAGAGAGAAAGGAAGATGGAGGAGGAAGATTATGAATCTGCTGATTATGATTCCATTCCTGATGTCATAGAACTGCCCAGTCCAGAAAGTGAAAAGGTTAGTAAAGAAAACCATGTTGATTAAAAAAACTACCTCCACGAATTATTTAATACATGTAATAAGATATATTACATACCTTAATTATTAGGAGACTATAATCGGTCCACAAAATTTTGGCAGTTTGAGGGGAAGTTCTCCCACTAAATTTTTATTTGCTTAATGAATATGTTGCAGCTTATTGACGTTTTGGCAATTTTAATATGTTGAGCTATTGTTTTAAGGTTAGGGGAGTTTTAGTGAAGGGGATAGATTTATTCCCCTAAAACCACCTAAATTTTGTGAACTGGGTATAATTTAGGATTGACGATGGTTAAGTACCAATTTATTAATATTTATTTTACCATTCATTTTAATTAAAACCACTGTAGTTAGGAAAATCCGATGGATCAAGAATTCACTGAGGATCTTCAACCTATTCAGTTTTGTTTTGCGGCTGGACTTTAGTTTACGTCCTACACTCATTCGAATGAATATATCGATTGATATATACATCAATTATTTCATTCGATATATCAAGTTTGGTTAGTTAGGTTAACCTAACCTTAACCAAATGATAATCTTATCATAACCTAACCTTATCGAATAATCTATATATCAATATTTTTTACTCGAATAAGTGTAAGACGTAAACTAAAGTGCAGCCAGTTTTGGTATAAAATACCCCTGCTGCAGCAAACCTGCATAATGAGGGATTTCCATTTTCCTGATTGGATTTTCACTAAAATATAAACATGCCAGATTTATTTATAATTAAATAGGATTAGGTTTTCCAAGTACAGTACCAAGGTTTGCAAACTACAACAGTTAATTTTTTTCTCTAGGAATAACATACAAATTTTAAAAGTGCAGTTTTTTTATTTTCTCAGTACCTAACCTTTAATTTTCCAACTACACTTCAATATAGAAATGTATTGGGTTTTAAAGGTCTACATGATGGCAGTAAATTACATTTGGGTATTTTTATAATTAAAACTTTGAAAAAATCAACTTTTGAAAAGTTTTAAAACGCTATTACACCTTGTTCCCAGCAACTGACCTTGCTGGTTAGGGAACTTATTCAAGTGTATTCAGCCTTAAAGAATCATACCAATATTTTTTCTAATTCAGACCAAAATTACCCGAGTTATTGTGCTCACGAGCAAACAAACTTATACATAGGGTGAGTGCAGCAGTGAATAACCATTTAAGCTTCAGTTTCCACTTGTATTTCTATAGGGAAACAGGCTATTAAGCTATACAGTGTAGGGAATAGTTTAAATTGTCTTGCCCATATTCTCCAGTACTTCTGGATGATTAAACATGTATTTTGATCAAATAAGTGTTGAAAAAACAATTTATCACACGTAAATCAATCATTATACCAGTCAATGACCTCATATTATATAACATTTAAAACAATTGCGCTAACCTCCAATCCCTCTTTTTACCAGAAAAACTGTTCAAGATCCTCACTTCAAAGCAGGACACCCCTATACTCATATAATAAAAAAAAAAACCACTTCAGAATTGTGTTAGAATATAGATTGTAGTGAATTACCACTTTCCATCCAGTAAATTACCGTAACTTTTAACCCACAGTCATTATTTATGGTTATACATCATTCCAGTGGCATAACAGAAGGGCCCGCAATGTGGGGGAGGCCCGCAAACAGGTGAGCGGGCAAAGGCGAGCGGAAACCGGCGAGCAGAGAGGCCCGTGAGACTAGTGGGGCAGAAACTTGGAGTTCATTCTTATTGAAATTTATTATTAATCATTTAATAATTGTATTTAAACAAGTATAGGTACTTGTTTAGTATAATTGTTAAAAAAATGTTCATCAAAATGTTTTTTTTTTAATTTTGTTGACCTTAAATGTTAATTATTCTAGAGGTTAAATACCTTATTGTTGCCACTGTAATCCTCTGTCGTCTGGATGGCAACCGGGGTGTCATTGTAAAGCATTAAAGACGTGTTGTCGCTCCTAGGAGGTCGTCATAAAGTCTTGAAAACAAATACACGAGATACGCACAAACATTAACGAATAAATAACACAGTATGGCCATACAAGAACACTAATTTTCACTGCGCGACTGCGGGTTCAGGGTGTAGGTCTAGATTGACCGTCACCGTGTCCTTTCCCTCCTCCCCTTCCCCTACATCGTTATCAGCGTCATTGTCTTCTGATAATCCTTCTTTCATTGCAGCTGCTTCATAAATTATGTCAGATTCAAACAAAGTTTATTCGTTAAGAATGTGTTGGGGGGATTTTTTGCCGGCCTTGAAAATCTCATATTCTTTTATAGTATCGAGAAAACTGCCTCTTTTTTGTGAAAATGTAGCACATTGATGGTTTTGTCAATATTTGAGACATCGTGGTTATAATTAATCAGATGATCCGCAAATGCAGAATTGGGTTTGTGGATGGATGGTTTCGGTAAGTGTTCCTTGTATCTCGTTTTAAATGAGCGGGCGGTTTGTTTAATATAAGAACTAGGGCAGCTGTCACAATTAAGTTTATAAACACCAGATCCTTCAGTTTTTTTTTTCGGTAATAGGTTTATCCCTTTGTTTCTCAAAACACCTGAATGTTTATTGTTAGTAGGTACTGAAAGATGTTAAACTTTTAACCTTATTTCATTATCACTGAATAGGCCTAACAAAATAAAACGATGACAACATATTAATAACATTAATGAGTAATAACATTAATGTGGAGGGTGTTTGATTATGCTGTATCAGTGATCTAAAAATAGCTCATGGGAGGGGGCCCGAGAAAATCTGATACGCCACTGCTTCATTCACATAATTTTTTATGAGATTATATGTTTCATAGCAAGCATTTAATCCATCAGAAAATATTGTTTCCAAAACTTTGAAAGAACATCAATTCGTGTAAATGATAGACTGTTATAATTATTGTTAGTTAGGATTTCGATCTTAAAATACAGAACTTTACCTCAACATGTTTACTGTGAAATACAAATGACAATTTGCAGTTTCCATGAATTATCAAAAACATTGACAAATACAAACAATCATGATTATACGAAAAGCTATATTGGGAACCATGAAGATGAACTTGTTGGAACACTTAGTCTAATTTTGTTTGCGTTAAAAAAGGAGGGTTGACACCTACTTTTTGAACAATGACACGGTAGATTCCAATCAAGCTTCAAAGTTACGAGGTCATTTTTTAAGGAAGGGCTGTTTTTGTGTATATCTTTGAAGTTTGCGTGTACGCCGTGAAGAGGCTCCTCGCCCCTTACTGGCATCATTTGTGATAAGAATGACACCATTTGCAGCTCTGCAGCAGACGAGTACGCTTCGCTGTGTATTTAAATACTTTTTAAATTATTGAATCTACTGCCGCGTTGAGATAAGGTCAGTGTGTTTTTGACCATAAGAAACATTCGTTGTTGACATTCATCGCCAGAAGACTGCCCATAAACCAAATGCAATGGTAGAGGTGAAAGTACAGAAATGGGCTAGGGAGTTACAAAATTGCTGTGAAAATGTTCATTTCTGTAGGTAGTTTTTGGTATGGAGATTTATCACAGAACACCCCCAATGGAAGAAGGTTTCACGGTTATTTTTACACTCCATAAAACCCATTTCCGCACTTTACCCTCGTTCACTGCATTAGGCCTTAACCTTCAATCATCTGGCTATGAGTGTCGGCATCGGATCTGTTTCTTGTAATCAAAAAGGGTATCAACCTTATCTCGCACACAGCAGGAGATTTAATACTTAACTTCAATTTTGTTTTTTAAACACACAGCGAAGCGTACACGTAGCTACAGAGCTGCAAATGGTGTCATTCTGTTCACAAATGATGCCATTTAGTGTAGAGGAGCCTCGTTGCGGCGTACACGCAAACTACAGAGCTATACGCAAAAATGACAATCGTACTTTTAAGACTGTTTGTGAAAGACTAGGCAGAACAAAAAGCTTAATAGTATGTTTTATAAAGAACTAGCAGAATACCCGTCCTTCGTACGGGGTTGGCATATAAGTATAAAATGCTTACTGCAGTGTTGGGAGAGGAGATGGTTTAAGAAAGTTTTTTTTTTTTATTTATATGGTAATGGTATCCTATAGTGTAGCACGCATCTACCATAGCCCTAAATGCTCTACCACTGCACCTAAACCATTGAAAAAAGTAAAGTTTTCATTGTGTACCACAACTTTTTGTTGCTACAGTGGTTGGTTTAAATTAGGGGTTGTCATAAATGCAAAAAGCATACTAGTGCTGCACCCTGTTGGTAAGCCTTATAACGTTATAAAGCTATGTAATATCATAGAACCAACTTGTGCAGTTGAAACGGCTGACAATATTTTTTAATTCCTTTAAATATGAATACTCATAAGGTTAACATGAGAAACCCCAGAGCCACTGGGGCGGAGCCCGAAAGGATTTTTGAGGTCAGAATATGTCTAGGGCCTATATGTTAATCAGGAATGTCAGCTATCATCATATCAAATTTCAACTTTGTCGGTTTAGTATTTTTTGCGTTTACTTGTCACAAACATCCATCCATCCATCCAAACTTTCTTACTTATAAAATTAGGAGGGTAAGTAAACTGTTGTAATATTGCTTGTTTATGGATATTTGTTTATCAAACTTGGCTGATAAATTTTTTTTATTATACTAAGCTAATGGTATTTTCCTAAAAATCACACTTCCTTACCCTCACTGTAGCAACAAACCTCGGTACTCGTTAAACCTTATGATATTGAATTAGGTAGGTTTAATTGAAAAAAGTAACACAAATGGAAATTTGCTTAGGCTGCAGGTTTGCTGCGGCGAGGGTATTATGGAATTGTAATTGATTTAGAAAGAAGACTTTGTGGTAATACATGATTAACTCAAATTTATATAAGATACTAAATAAACCAATCCCGTCGGTCACAATTAGTAGAGCCGGTCGTTTGTTAATTGACTGGCGCTACTGCAACCAGCACTACTATTCGTATTTTCTAGTAGCCACGAATTCGTGCTATAGTAATACCAGAAACAAAAGAACTCTGGGCCGTTTTGAGCCGCGCAGGTTTGAATGGTACGCCACACCTACCTGCGCGAACCACGTGATCTTTTCGTTTCTGCGCAGGTTTTTTTGTTCTTGGTATGTCTATAGCAGCTATACCCGTGCCTTGCAACAGGGTCAGTATGCAAAAGAGACAAAGTTGGTTCGTTGAAAATGCCAAACGGTTTCACTCCTACCGTTTAATTTACAAACAAAATTAAACTCTATTACTTAACTTAATAATAGTAAGTTTTTGTTAACTCATACTGTGAATACTTATTTAGGCTACCAAGGATACAAAACCAATGATAGATTTTAAGGTATGATAAAAGAATGTGTTTAATGGTTTGCACTGTAAAGGAAAAGCTATCACAATAGTTCAAAACCTGACAATAGGGTAATTTTCTAATTCAAACACATGTTAGTGAAATTATAATCAGGCAAATGGGAATTCGTTCAGTCTATAGGTTTGCTGCGGCAGGGGGATTATATTACTGTTAACAAAAAAATAAATCAAAAGAATAAACCTCATAAAACTCAGGATAAGGGCCTAGGTTGATACGGCAATATAGAATCTGAGTTATTTCCTATATCCGTGAATGATTTCTTTTACAATGAATTATTTCCTATACAATTTATTACTACATTTCACAAACATTAGAACAGGCTCAGTATAATAGATCATAAACGTAAACAAATGAAGTAACTAAAAGAATCCTACTAATGAAATTACATTAACATATGGTTTGACAGCTCCATTTAAGTAATTTTAAATAATGTTTACATTCGGCCTAGTGACATCATTATTTTAAATTTATAATTCTTACCCTCTCTGTTCTAATATTCGTGCAGTATTTATTATGTTTGAACCAGCTGTGTGGAGTTGTGAAATCAAAATTCATCTGACAGTTAGTTCTGCTTGTTAACATTTTAAAACTTTGTAGGTTTGTTCTTTGTTACCATGGATACCACCAATCAATATTTACTTTTAAATCTCTCACCTCAAATTTTTGAAAGCCCACGGGGCAGAGCCCTAGGACTATATCGAGGCGGGAATAGTTCTATATGTATCCTCGGAGCTGTGGCTTCAATTGTGTGCAATTTGAGCCCAGTCGGTTCAGTAGTTTTTGAGATTATCTCATACAAACACACTCACACACAGACACCACCTCTTCTTTATAATAGTAATAAATAGATAGATAGCTCAGTAGGTGGTCATTTGCATGTGTACTCACCCTAAAGGCCTACTGTGTAGAATGTTTGACAACAGGGACATCAAAATGAAACGAGTAAATCGGTCCTGGGTTTGATCTTGTCTTACCATATGCCCCCTAAAGTAATAGCTTCTTCCCTACATGGAAAATTCGTTGTTAGAATAATTTTCCAAGTTTGAAGCCCTAAGAAATGAGCATGGTTATTTATGATTTAGGTTAGTTATAGAATATTTCAACACGATGATGTACACTAATGGCGTTTTCCAGGTTGAATTATGATTAAACAAGTTTTATATCTTAGACCACTTAAAACATAAGCATTATGTTATACCACAGACTATAGACCATTACAGAACTGAAACGACCGTTGGATAATATTTTTAAATATTGTCACTGATCTGAGCCGCTTCCTACTGGCGTATGTTTCTGCTGGCCAGGGCTACCAATAGTTGCAGATGATAGTATGAGTGGCATAGTGGTTGGCATGGCAACCGATCTACACGCATGCACGCAATTATGCACACCGTGGTGGTACACAATGATAACCTCGTGCTAACCCTGGATATGGCATCCTGCCATACTGCCGCTATCACTGAGTTTTTTAAATGCCAGCCGTTCAGGCGAAGACTTATAATAAAGTTTAGCAGTTTTTATGGTAAATATTTGAGCCCATAAAACCTAGGCCCACAAATTATGTCATTCTGTTTGTTTTTTTTTTTTTTATAAATCTAAATAAATAAATAATGGTTTATAGGTTGTGGTTATACCAAACATTTTCACTCAAACTAACTGTATAGGCCTTACTTATCAATAACTTTGGCAAATCTCCTTTTTACAACCTTCCTTTTGACATAACTCTGTTAACTTCCTTAGTGTGTAGTTTCCACAAATTAATTAAACAGTTTACAATTAATTTATGAACATAAACGATACAAACGTAGTAATCAATTCAATAAGATTATTTTTCCAGTATTTGAAAACGATAAAACAACTTACTCCACAAAAATAATACGTGAAGAGTTGATCTTGTTTTGAAGCTACAGTATTACTCAAGCATTGAGTTGACTGGTGATTCATCAACGTTTGTGTTTGCTTTGCTGAACTAAAGTGAAAGTGTTGTATAGGCTGAACAGTTGCTGTTGTCCCTGGAGAGACAAGAGTTCTGTCCTGAGCCAGAGCCACCTCCAGACTACGACATGTCCATCACTGAAGGTAGGTTTTAGAAATGTTTCTCCTTAAAAAATCAAGTTATTAAATTGCTTTTTTGTAATATTGCAGCAAAAACAGCCGTATGTAATGCATGCGTTGTGGGTCTAAAGTAGGAAGTAAATACCCCCGCCGCAGCAAACCTGCCGACTAAGCGAATTTCCATTTGTCTGAATTGATTTTCAGTTAAATATATTTTAATAACATTAGGTTTAACGAGTACCTAGGTTTGCTGCTACAAGGAAACTAAACTAATAAAGTGTGTTTTTGAGTAAAATATTGATAGCTTAGTACAAAATAAATAAATTTGCCAAGTTTGATCAAAATATATTCATAAACAAGCAAACTACAACATTTGACAATATTCTCCATAAGAATAACATGGGAATTTTAAATTTAAAATTTTTTTTAATTTTCTCCGTTACTAATAATTGAACAAAAATACTTTTATAGTACTAAATTATTTGTTTTTTTTAAGCTCTTTAAAAAGGTCTAAAGAAAAATTGGGAAATTTTGTGTTTTGAGGGTCAAAAGTGAGAAAAACCAATTTTTACCCCATAAAACAGTTAAACAGTAAAGCCCCGTTCCCATGGTCCGATCGTGCTGGTTCGCGAACTCATTCAAGTTTATCACGCTTTACACCTTTAAACCAAATTTCATCAAAATCGGACAAAAATTACTCAAGTTATCGCGTTCACGGACGTATATATATATATATACATATATAAAAATTTGAACGAATAGTGTTTTTGGCCTCTGGGGACATCAAAATGAAAAAGTAAATCGGTCCCGGGTCTAGGTCTTACCGTGCCACCTACGGTAATAGCTACTTCCCTATAGAGAAATTCGCTAAAAGAGGAACTCTCTAGGAAGTAAAAAGAGTTTTTAGCCCCTAGGGAGTAAAAATCAGCTGTTGTCAACTCAGTTGTACATTTTGATTGTAAGCAATTGCATGTATCGAAAGTATGTCTCGATTATTTAATTGATTGCAGTTAATTGTTGCCTTATTGTAAATAGTTCTATATATTGATAGTATAGTGTACTCATAGATAAAACATACTCCCTTAGTAGATTTCTCATCCTTATGGAACAGCTGAAGACAATTTTATTGTTAGTTCTGTACGGTTTATGTAGAGGTCATGTTTTGTTTACAATTTGTTTCCCGTTATTACAGCCATTTAAAACCTCGTTTAACCAAATAATAGGATCTAAACATAAACAATAACTTGTCCCCTAGTTATATAACCAAACAGTAAAGCACAAATCAAGAAATTAACCCTAAAATAATAGAAACAAAGTTTCGTCGACACTAGCGCCTTTGTGTCACGTACATGAACTAGACACGAAAAACGTGCTTCAAAATTTACAATGGGATGAGAATTCTACTTGTGTTGGTTAGTCTATGGTGTACTCTAACACAATCGTAATGGACTAAACAATTGAATTGCTTATTAAATAGCTGCTTGTTTTCATTAGCAAATTAAAACAAATTGAAATTGAAATTGGCAAATTGAAAACAAGTTAAAAAGTAGTTTTGTGAGGTTATCTTTAAATATAAATTTTGGTAGCATAGTTTGTTCAAATAATGGTGCAATGTGACGAAAAATATAGTTCGTCACACGGGCAAAAAGTGTATTTTCAACCCTCGCTCATTTTCTGACCTTGGTTTCGCCTCGATCCTAAAACTTGAGCTCGGGTCGAAAAGAGTCACTTTAGGCCCTAGTGATAAAATATACTATTTTGTCATATGTACTGCAGCAAAAACAGCCATGGTTAATTCATTCATTGCGGGTCTAAAGTAGCATTTTTACTCTCTAAGGGAGTAAAAATCAGCTGATGTCAACTCGGTTCTAAATTTCAATTGTAAGCAATCTCATTGTTTAATCAATTGTAGCTTATTGTCACCTTATTGTAAATAGTTCGACATATCGATAACATAAAGTACACTAACACAATTGTAATAGACAAAACTATTGAATCACTTACTAAACAGTTGCTTGTTTCCATTAGGAATTAAAAATTAAAACAAGTTAGATCATTTTGAGAGGTGCTTTAAATGAAAACTATTTTTGTTTTGTATCATAGTTTGTTCAATAACAGTGCAATATATACAGCTCATCATACGGTTAAAAAGTGTATTTTCAACCCTCGCTCATTTTCCGACCTCGGCTTTGCCTTGATCGTAAAACTTGTGCTCGGGTTGAAAAGAATCACTTTAGTGATTAAATACACTACATGTTTTAAAAACTACTAACGTTTTTTAGAGGTATGGGTTTGGTAAAACGGCCTGACCCCCTCAGATTCTTGTGTATCCGTTTGCAATTGAATTGATGTCCCCAAAGCTTTGACGGAGCACAAGTCAAATGCATGATCATGGGGTACATATACTCTAACGTGTACGTGTACCCTACTTGATTTTGCATAATGGTTAAAGCTATAAGTTTATAATGAATTATTTACATGTATAGAAGTTTTACTAGTGTCTTAATATGTCATATTCTGCATAGCATATTTCATAAATGTTACAAAAAATAATTATTTCAACACTTTTTTCAGAACTTGAAATACCCCCTATGTTGCCACCACGACAAAAACAACGCCCTGTTTCTCCGTGGCATGATGTACCAAAAAACAATAAACCAGTGTTACCAATCGAGCCAGAACTACCACCACCCTTGCCAGAGAAGAAGGGAAATAGGAAAACTCACCACGTTTTGATAAAAATCACAGAAAACTCGAGTTGTATAGAGCAAAGTCTACCTTCCCTAGGAGATGACTCTGTCAAATGTAGGCCTCCTTCGAGGAATGGAGAACAGAAGCTGGAAGACCTCGATGTGTTGTTGGCTCAACTGTCTGAGGTGAACACTTACGTTGTGAGACAGATAGACGTGTCAGAAACAGAGGAGGGAAACGTTGTACAGGTAAACAAGGCGACTGTTGCAAACAATATTAGCTTATAATAGGTGTAACGTGCCGTTTTTCCCGCTCGGAATATATGCGCTATTCCGTAGTTAAAGCGGGAAAGACGTCACCAACTCTCGCCAGCGGATCGCTCAAGTCGGCGTGCTGGGAAGTTTCCAGGGTTCAGATAAAAATTATTGATTTAATTAACTCAAAACCTAGCACAGGTACAGATTTGTATAGACGCAAAAATGTAGTGTGGATCAGGTGTGAACTCAGTACCGGTAACCAACAACGCTACTGTACCATCATCATCGTTCACACCTGGGAACAGCTAATTAAATTAAATTTAAAAATAATGAAAAACCATTCAACGAAATTTTGAAACAACTTAATGTTGCAGTTTCGTCAACCTTAACACTTAGAATATTATTACTAGCGAAATAGTGAATATACACTTAGCGTGCTCCACCCGACCTCGTGTTTGCACGACCTGCAGAGACGGGTTCAACTTTGCCCGCTTTGCCGCAGCAGTTCAACACCTGCTGAATATCCCGGCAAAATATCCGCTATAACCCCGTCACCCTCAATATATATTGTAAACACAATATTAAACGAAATTTGTATCCCTAAAACTCCTTATTGCCACCCACGGGAGCCCTAGCATACGCTAAAGCGGACTTATACAAGTTCTAACACCCGACAAAGATCCTACCGTGAGTTTTACGTCCAAAAGAATAAAATGAGGGTTTATCGCTAAATCTAAATAATAAAAAATAATAGTACACACTATTAAGATAAAGCCGGCGAATTACCTGTATACTCCAGGGATCTTCACTGACACACTAAAGCACACGTTTAGCAAAATCACTCGTTTCAAAGCAAGACACGTCCTAACACTGGAAATCGCAGAATTAGAATGTCGTCGCATCCCTTGCCCACAAGGGATCTTCACTACTTCCCCCTCCCTAATCCTCTAGGGATGGGGAATCAGCTGATTCAATTACCAGCTGATCGGTGACGTCACGAGTTCAAACTTGGCGCTGTCACAACACAACGCCAAGACAGCCGACTAGTAGTACAGGTTATGTTGTTAATGTTGTTATTCACCTGCGCCGACTGTGAAATTATACGCGGAACTTAAATATCATTGCTGGTTTAAACAAAAAGTATAATTTCCACCCGTGACGTGTAGCTTAGTGTGCGACAAAGTGTATGCATGTTATGTAGCGATATTGTATTTGTGATCGCGGTTCACCACCCTAGCCTAACCAACAACTTTGACCGTACTTCCCAAAGGTGTATATTAGGCATGGGGGTTACACGGAAACGGTTTATCACTCGTTTTGTACACAACGATGCAATACTGTGACTTGTGAATCTAAAAAATAGTGTCTTTAGTGATTTTGCCAAAAGTGAGGTTATCCCTACTTCAACCCTAGGATAGGCCTAGAACAGCCTATTTACCTTACCATGATAGGTTTACCACTATCACCAACCAGGTAAGGAATAGGCCTACTGATAATTAAATAATAAATATAAAAACTTAACCCCTCTATAATTTTGACCCATTACACCCCCCTCCTACTTCGGGGAGCAAAAAAAAAACCAACAAAAAAAAAGATTTCATGCCTAGGGTTTGAAAAAAAAAAACCTAAGTCACCCTTTCCACAAAAGGCTTCAGATCCTTCACGTGAACCACATGAGGGGTTTTAGAGCTAACGTCTTCCACCTCGTAGACATTCACCCCCCGTTCACCGGTAATCACGCACGGTCCGTGAAACTTTGGAGCCAGTTTGCCTACCACGGCATCCGCCGCGGACGACAGTACGTGCGCTCTTCGCAAAACCCGGTCACCGATCTCGTATGTCACCTCACGCCGCCTCAAGTTATAATATTTGGCCTGGCGTTGGTACGCAGCTTTGAGGTTATGGTGGGTTTGGCTATAGAGTTCCCGGAAGGTTTTGCAACGACCTTCATAGACCTCACCCACCGACGGTTCAGCCTCCTACCCGGAACTCTCAAAGGACGTCCCATAAATCGTTTTTGGGGGTTTTAACTCCCTCCCAAAACAGAGCATCCCCGGGGAGAATCCGGTAGAGTCATGTCTAGCGGTGTTCACGGCAAACTGGAACTCTTCCAACAGCCGGTCCCACCCCTTGTGATTGTCCTTCACAAATTGGGCAATCATGGTTTTCACAACCCGATTTGGACGCTCAACCGGATTTGACTGAGGGCTATACGGGGCCGTGGTTTGCAATTGCACGCCCCATTCAGCGGCCAGGCTGCGGACTATTCGATAGACAAACTGCGTCCCATTGTCGCAGATCATCACCTCTGGAGCCCCATAACGCAGCAACACCGTCTTCAATTTCTGGGACACGTTCTGTGCGGTTGCGGCTCCTATTGGAGCTAGCTCCAGCCACTTACTGAACGTGTCTTGTATCACCACCAGAAACCGATGGTTATACCGTGTCCTTGGCAAAGGTCCGATGAGATCCACAGAAATTGTTGACCAGGGACCCTTTGGGCGTCGGAAATACATTTTACCGGCGGGTTTCGTTTGTGCCACCTTGTAGGTTTGGCATTGAGGACAACTCAGGACATAGATTTTGACATCTCCCCTCCAACCCGGCCAGTAATACCGAACGGCCACCCGGGCCATTGACTTCTTTACACCCAGATGCCCTGCTGTCGGTAAATCGTGGTTCTCTTCTAAGACAGCTCGCACCCGGTCAGGGGAAACACACATCTTCCAGACTGGGTTTTCTGCATTGCCAAATGAGCGGTATAACTGTCCAGCCCTAACACAGTAATTCTTAAACCTACCGGGCCGGTTGGTCACCAATGCGAACATACGTTCGTACCATCGATCTTTAATAAACTCCTCGTCCGGTTCATTATCACCAGGAACGAGTGTAGACGCGCCAGTTTCATCACCTGACGGCATAGAGCCCACTGATGGCTTGTCACCCTCGACAGCCTCACTACCTTCCACGGCAGCCACCCCCGTTGGGTCAAGACAGGCTTCGTCACCCAAATCACTTGGCCCCAGGCCCACTGGATATCTGGATAAGGCGTCAGCTACGCGCCTTTTAACGTGCCTTTGCGGTACTTGATTTCAAAATCATGTTGCTGGAGCTCCATGACCCACCGAGCTAATCTACCGCTCGGTTCACGCAGTTTCATGAGCCAGCTGAGAGCAACATGATCTGTAATCGCCACAAAGTGGTAGCCTTCCAAGTAGGGTTTAAACTTCCTGACTGCCCAGACCAAGGCAAGACACTCCTTCTCTGTGGTAGAGTACTTGGATTCCTGGTCAGTCAGCAGACGGCTCGCATACGCGATCACCACCTCCTTGCCCTCAACTTCCTGGGTTAAGGCGGCACCCAGCCCCACATTCGAGGCGTCAACCTGCACCGTGAAGGTTTTACTGAAGTCGGGGCAGGCCAATACGGGAGAAGAGCACAAAAGCTCCTTCAACTTCCGAAACGCAGACTCTTGCGCATCACCCCATTGCCACTTTGCGCTTTTCTTAAGCAGATGTCGTAGAGGCGCCGACACCGTCGCAAAGCCTTCAATAAAGCGCCGATACCAGGACGCCAGACCCAAGAAACTACGCAGCTTCTTGATATTGGTAGGTATCGGGAACTCACTAATCGACTGGACCTTCTCAGGGTCAGTGGTTATCCCCTCAAAATTTACCACGTGTCCAAGATACTTTAACTGGCGTTTGCAGAAGTGGCATTTTTCGGGGTTCAACTTCAAGCCAGCAGCACAAAGTCGGTCAAATACTAGTTTCAGAAGTTCGAGGTGCTCCGCAAAGGTCGTCGACACCACTACCAAGTCGTCAAGGTATGCAAAGACCTTAGGTTCAAGTTCAACACCTATAACCATATCGAGCAACCTCTGAAACGTCGCACCGGCTGAGTGTAATCCAAAGGGCATAACGGTAAACTGGTACAGCCCTCGGCCGGGAACCGTAAACGCGGTTATCGCCCGGCTTTCAACTGCCAGAGGTACCTGCCAATACCCACTCTTAAGATCCAAGGTGCTGATGTACTTGGCCTGGCGTAACTTTTCCAGGATTCCATTGATCCGGGGTAAAGGATACGCATCCTTAACTGACGAGTCATTTACCGATCGCATGTCAATACAAAATCGGTAGGAGCCGGATGTTTTCTTAATCAACACCACCGGTGAGCTCCAAGGACTCGTGGAAGGCTCTATCACCCCTTGCAGCAGCATATCGTCAACCTCTTGGTCAATTATGGCTTGCATGGCGGGGTTACGTGGGTAATACCGCTGTTTAATGGGCACTGCACCCTCTTTGAGCCGAATTTTGTGCTCAACCAGCGAAGTCAGTCCCGGAACTGCCTCAAATTTCGGTAATTCGACCCTCAGGAACTCTGCCAGTTTCTGTTCCTCCTCTGGTGCGAGAGCGTCAATCGCGCTGAGGTTATTACCACCCGTCCCCATGACCTCAGTAGGCAAAATCACCCTTCGATCAATGCAGATCAGGTTAAGCTCCTCTAAACACCTCATGCCCAGAATCAGATCGCACGTCAAATTCGGGACATAATACGCCTCCCAGGTATGGGCTTGTTCGCCCACCCGGCCTGAAAGCTGGTACAAGGATCCCGCTTCACGGCTCGAACCATCAGCCATTTTCATTACTACACTGACGGTGGTGGGGTTCACACCCCTGTCGACAAGGAGTTTCTGAATTCGTGACCCTATAAGATTGACACTAGCCCCAGTGTCGACCAGTGCTCTGAAGGTTTCGCCAAACAATTCAACCTCCACAAAGGGTCTAACGTCACCCCGGTCGACACCTTCCACGGCTCCCGTGAAACCCTTCACATATTCGAGCCACTTATGCCATTCGCGGGAGGTCGTGTGTCGTGTTGATACCCCGGACTCGGCTGACCTCTGGGGCTCTGAGTCCGGCCACCGTTTCCCGCACGACATCCGCACCGGTACGTGGTAACGCCCTCCGTCTTGCAAAAATAGCAACGCA